ATATTTTTGCTAATGTGCTTATGCAAAGGGCAGAAGACATATTTCTTATTTATAGAGAATCCCACATATATGCAATATTAAATTTTACATTTATAGAATCAGAATTTAAATGTATACCCTGCAGAAAAGGCTTTGACTTTTCAGCAGTCAGCTATCAAATCAACTTCTGATGATCTTAATTTAATACTGTGAGTAATGAATGTTACAGAAATAGGGGTCCTGCTTTCTTGAGTTAAAGCTCCAGATTAAAATGAGCAATGACTGCGTAATTTTTTATTGGGTAATCAGAATAATTACTATTTGCAGATAAGTTCTCAGTAATTTTTTATTAAATTTGTGCACTCAGGTTTTCTATAACAAATAGTAATCCTTCTTAATAGTTGTCATGTATCTTACTTCACTCAGGAGATCAATTACAAAATCAAACAATGGATTTTTGATCCAGCAAACTCTGCCATGACTGTGAAAGGGGAAACTGAGCATGGCAAGTTCCTGGTTGCACTCAGGAGTGAAATAAAGTCTCTACCAAATGCCCAATCTGCCCTTTGTATCCTTCTAGACTTGTAAACCAAGTCTGTGAATTTTAAATTTTACTTCCTCAGTTTCCAATGCAGCTGCACAGCTGCCCATACTACTGGTCATACCTCTCTGCCCACTAATCAGGCACTTCATCCCATTCTTTTTGTCTCTGAAAACCTGAAAGTTTATTAAAAACCTCTTTGATGCAATTTTTTTTAAAATATATTTTTCTAAACTCCTTGTGAACTTTTCAGAAAGTTCAAAAAAATTCTCTGGGACTCATAGATTTCTGCTATCAAATTATTCATACAGAAAGTCTACCGGGGAAATAAATATGAGTAATTAAAATCTAAAGAATGATAAAATAGCAGTAAAATAGACTAAAATTCCTTGAAGATTTTGCATTAATTGATTTCCTGTCTTCTTCCCTGCACTAGGTGTTAGGTTCTGAACAGCACGATAGGATGGGGATGAAAGTGTGGAGACCAAGTCACATGGAAGGAGTAAGAGCAAGCACAGACCTTGTTTAGCTTGGGAAGAGGAGGAGGAGGAGGAAGAGGAGGAGGAGGAAGGCTGCTGTGCATAATAGCCTTTGCATTTGAAATAAGGACACTGCAGGGATGTGTTACCCAAGGAGGGCACTTCTGCCAGTGTGAGGCATTGAAAAAAATCATGTCAGGCTTCCAAAAGCCATGAGAATAGGTAAAAATGATAGCTGAGGGAATAAACAAACCATTCCTGCTGAATTATTTTTATTCACATCCTGATTTTGAGCCTTTTAGGTACATTTGGATTGCATTTCAAATCTTTTCTCTTTTTGTAACAGCTAAAAGTAATTCTCAGTAGGATAAAAGCCACATAATTGAAACCCCTCCATTTATACCATTGCAGGCATTTGGACTTTTTAAAACTCACCAAAGTTTTATGAAATCCACAAGAGTTAACAGCACGAGGTATAATCTGAGATGCACGTAATACCTAATATGTTTGATGTTCATTTAATAAACATCAAAAATGGGCAAAAGAGAGACTATAGTATATAATAAATACATAATTATTATACATATATACATATACATATGCATGTTATATACATATATATATGTATTATATAATTATAAAAAACATATAATATAAAATTCGTATATAACATAAACTCTGCTCTGGACTTCCTAACCCAATACAACCAAATTATTCTCTTCCGAAATTTCAGGGGGAGGTGATGGAAGGAGAATCCACATACCACCTGAAGCCTTTGCATGTCTTGCCTCACAGTAACATAAATCAAGCTTTCTGACAGTGTGTATATATTTGGCTATATGCTCTTTTCACGTGAAGATCAGTTTTGTTGGAAAGGTATTAGAAAGGCTCATATTGTTACATTTTGTGAACTGTAAAACCTTCATTAAGCCAGAGTAGGAAAAAATACCAACTGATGCTTAAGTAACAAATGCCACCAAGTGCTCATTTTCTGAACAACTCTTTCCAGCTGCACTGTATTCCTTACAGTGATAATGTCTAGGAAACAGACTCACTAAATCTTCTGATTTACTGCTATTTATCCAGTGAAATCATTATCAAATGTCCAGATTATAGCCTACAATAGACACTCTCTAAATGCGAAAAAATCTCTAAGCTGGTGCTGAAATTCAAGTGCTTCAAAAAAGCACCTGGAGAAGTGCTTGCCTCTTCAATGGTGAATGTTATAGGAATTCTGTTGCATCATATGATTTAAGTTTGATAGTATGATTTCTGTTGCAGTCGCGTCATACCTCGAGTTGACAGCAATTTGAAAAAGCAGATTAGGAAAAGTTACTTGTCTTAAAACATTACTGCTGTACTTCAAATACATATAAATACATTATACAGCATGTATACAATATTATATTGTATTGTACAGCTATAATAATGAATATTATATTGTATTGTATATTGTATTGTACAGCTATGAACACCACTGTTTGCTGAAGCTCATTATTCCCATATGCATGTCAAAAATGGTAGAAAATAAAGATCAAATGTTTGTAAAGTACTGAACAAGACTTTTGGTGTATAGAAAATTTAAATTTTAAGCACTCTTTATCTTCTTTTTCTTTCTTACTTTTGGTCAGAATTCTTGGATGACAGTTTTGGAACAAATTGGAAGCCACTCAGGCAATGTGCTTAAAAGTGCTAAATTTCTGCAGGCTCCAATTATACATCACAGAAAATGAGATATCAGTGTGACCAGGAGCAGTGCTGCATCTCTTGTTCCACGACCACAAGGATAAAGCGACAGATGTAAATGCATACTTGAAGAAAAGTGATTTTTTAAGAAGGGCAAAGGCCCCAAAGTTGCAATTCTAAGTGTAGGCAGGGTAAATTACCTGTGTTTTACCCATATTACTCATCAGGAAAGTACAAAGTAGTTAAAAACATAAAAAATTGCTAGGATTATTCAGTATATCCTAATAACTTATTTGTATAGGAAAACAAAAATAAGATATCACTATTTTGTTGAACCATGCAATGAAATGGATTAAATCACCATTTTCAATTTCAAGTTGCACAGTCATATTACATGCAACTACTGCCATTATTTTCCTTACTATTATTTTCAAACCATTAAATTTTACATATTTTTCTGCATCATGGATTCACAAATATTCTCATTTCTATTTTGTTTAATTTTTATTCCATTAATAACTGAATGAATCAAACTATAGATACAGCGTCTCACTTCTTTTTTAAAACAGCAGCTGTATTTGATTTGCAGAGAACAGGGAGAGATTTCCAAAATCATTTCAAATTCAAGATTAGCCACTAATTTTTAAGATATTTGTCCTCTATTTTGTTTGCTTTTAAGTGACAGGTAACACGTCTGGCTCAATGTCTGTTGTCTCAAAATATTCCATAGTAAAAAGAAGTCTACATCTTGTTTCTATATGTGCTTCATTTCCAGATTTTCTCCTCTTTATCCCACTCCCCCAGGCTCCTAAGTAGCTATCTCCATGGCAACTCTTGATAACATTGGTGGGTGGTGTTATCACAGCAGGCTTCCCCACAGAAGGTCTCAACCATATGGATTATTTATGAACCTGCATGACAGCAGCAGACCCACTGCAATACTTCTTGGATAAGTTTTGTCTCCTCTGAAAGCCAGATTGTCAGAGAATGGCTTCCTTACTGAAGTCGATGCTTAGCTGACAAAAAAATGAATGTTAAGGTGGTTGCTCATCAGCTCCCAAAGCTGCCTTGCCATTGCCTGGGTATTACTCTTAACCCAAAACAAGCATCCGTTGTCATGTGCCATACGTTGTAACTTACAGTTACATATGCCAATCAGTGAAATTGTAAATTTTCAACTTCTGAACAGAATAATAACAGTATTTCAGATATGCCATGACTGCATAAAGAGTTGACGTAGCTTAGACTGTTTTGGGGAGCTGCTCTTGCGGATACACTGCAATGGTTCTGTGTCTCTGAGTCAGTTCTTGGAAAAGGTCACATTTTGGCTTTGATGCTGTATTTTTTTCATCTGATATTTCTTCAATATATCCCTTAGTTATGGCTGTTTCATATAGGCTGTATTGATGCAAATATCACATATCAAATTTCTAAAAGGTGCTATCTGTATTAGTAGACAGTAGTATTTTAGTTTAAAGTAATAGATTATTCTGGGCAAAATACATTTCTTGAGCAAGAGAAAGGACCTCTCCTGTGCTGTCATTTCTGCTGATTATGTTTATAAATTTAATAAGTTGCCTAAGAACCAGATAATTTTTCTTCATGAAAGAAAATAATAGTTTTGCTTTCAGATCAGCACTTTTTTAAATCAGAGAACAATGCATAAGTTTATGTAAGATTTAATGGGTTTAATTTATCTTGCCTAACTATACATATATCTATAATTTATACCTGATTTGTCACTATAGACTTCCTTTATGATCAATAAAAAGTAAGAACTTCTGAGCTTCATTCAACAGACCTATTGCCAAAATTTGTTCGATGATTAAATCTGTTGTTCCCTAAATACCCTAAATAGCATAGATCAGATCTCCGTTGACTATAAAGGCAGTTGAAGTTGGTTAGCTCAGGTTAGATGCCCGCCCTGCAGTTCTTGTATGTCTAGCAGATGACTTCCACCATATGTATCCATCAAGAACTTCCAGGGAAGCTCAGCCAGCTTTCTGGAGAGGGGCAGCTCAGCAAGGGAAGATGTTGCCACCTTTATACGTCTCTTCCCCTTTCCTTACACACAATGAATCCCTAACTAGGGTAAATGATCTGGATTTGAACAACTCTATTGCAATAGAGTGCTGAAACCAATCCAAAACACTTAGAGAGAACTGGGTTAAATAATGTGCAGGTTGATAACCAGTCTGAGGAGGCAGTGAAAAACAAGGGCTGGTGTTAGGACAGAAGGGAAGACTGAAAGTTAGGATAGCTCAGAGGACAGAAGCCAAAACCACAAAATGTAGGAACCACTTTAGAGATACAACCTTGACAGAAGCTGTGTCACTCTTCTTCCTTGGATAGAGATTTATAGCTGCAGACTGGGAGAGAATACCTAGATATGAGAGATATTGCTGAAGAGACTTGGCCAAGTTCGTATCCTTTTCCAGGTCATAATTTCTTTCATTATCTGCATTCTCTTCTGAAGTCCTGCACAGAAAAACCAAACAAGAAACATATTACTAGTCTGCATGACAGTCAGCCCAGCAAAAAAAAAAGGAACCATGTTTTATACCTCAAGATACTGAAATTATTTCCATACATGAGTGCTTAAGAAAAAAAAAGTCACTAAAAAGCTTTAGAAGAACAGCAATAAAGACAATTCTGCTTCAGTAAAAACAACTATTTTTTTTAATGAGTCCACTATTAGCAATGTGTTGTGCAATCAAAGTAAATGACCAACATTAAATCAACAAAAAGCCTACATCAAGGTAAAATGATGTCCAAAGGGGAAAAGAATATTTGTAAACGGAAAATACTACGTGATCTAGGTGTCTCTGCTTGAGCAGGGGGGATGGACTAGATGATCTCTAGAGGTTTCTTCCAACCTCAAACACTCTATGATTCTGAGAAAATATACAACACTAAAGTGCATCCCAAAGAAATAAATGGGTAGGTTTAACTATAAAGCTTGCTGTATTGTGTACAGAAGCAATATTATTTTGGCTCCACACGAGCAAACAGAGTACAGTGAGACTGCTGGGCATACAGAGGTATGTGAGCAAGGTAGCTCCAGAAAAAGGCTTCAGAAGGGGATAATGAGACAACAAAAGTGTCTCCTCCGTCCCCATCCGTGTGAGATTCACATCAATGGTTCCTGACTGTTTTAAACAAATCTTGGTGATGTTTGCAGAAAAAAAAAAAAAACATAAAAATGTGATTAAGCAACAGCAGTGTAGAGAGGTGAGTATATGGGATTAAGAGTGTGGTGTACAACAGCTCTGAGTTATTATCAGCTTCCCTCATCTATCTCAATAACATGTCAGTGATAACAATAATTTAAATGTCAACACCAGTAACTATTTCATACTTCACGTAAGAAAGCCAAGGGAGGGTCACCGATCTGCTTCCTTCTCTGTGACACATTGTTTGGAGGGAAATTATGTCTCAGGGTCACCCTTCCCACCCACCTCCGCACATCCCATTTCTCCAGGGATGGAGATTTCCTGTGAAAGGACTTTCACAGCCCAGGGAGTGGGAGCATCATTTTACTTGAAGCATCAGCAGGCATTTGTAAGCCGCGTTCAGTTCCACCAGTTCACATGGTGATTCGCTTTTGGGGCAGAGTGTGAAAGAGTATCACTATTGCATATGCCAGATTTTGGATTTAATTGCATTTCTTTATGCACAACTAACAGACTTTCAGTTTTGCTGCACAGGGCTCAACAGAGGTCTTGCTATAAGAATTTGCTTGCTCCTCACAGCGTTTGCGTTTTTCTCCAATTCTAGAGCTCTAAGCCCTGCCCGGCAGCGGAGGGCGGAGGTGCAGGTAACATCACCAACCTCCTGTGCATCCTAAAGGCAGACTCAGGCTGTGCTGCCAGGCTGGAATGAGCCGGGCTGGCTTTCTGCTTCAGTAGAGATGAACTAATCCAAAGAGGCTATCATAGAGAAGGTATTCCAATTTCTCATTCCTCGCTTAATTCCAATGTCTATCTTCTCCTTTCTTTGCTTACTTTGAAAGCGGAAAGCAAATGGAAATACTGACCAAATTCTACCCTTGGGATTTTTGCTGGAGTTAATATGAATCGAATGCACAGATAAAAGATAGTCTTTACGTTAGCTTTTCAAGCCATTATTTTCAGTATATAATCACTCACTCTGGTGGTAAAAGCAGAAACTGAGGTGAAAGATTACTCTCTTTTTCCTATGGAGATAGCCATGCTCTCAAATTGTGTTTGAATTCCATACTGATTGTAATTTTATACACTATAAACTTGAAAACAACAATCAAAAAGTAAAAGGCTAACCAGCTAACAAAGCATTACATTTCATCTGATGGCAACTTTAATAAAATCCTTTAAACATGTCTGATTTTGAAAAAATCTTTTCAGTTCATCAGTGTATCACTATTGCTAACCTTGCTACTGCAGAAAGTAAAATGCATTAAATGAACTGTTCTTACAATAGAATTAAAATTGTCCTCTTAAATCTGACAAAGTGATGCTGGAAAATGGATTAAAGAGAAATATGTAAAGGCATCTGGTGAGTAGGAGAAATGACTGTCAGTTGACTTCTTGTGCACTTATTTGGAAGCATGTTCTGTTTTAATTTGTTTTGAAAAAGGACTACAATGCATAAAGACCATCATGATATAGATAATTATTTATGCACAGAAAAGCACGTCGCTTTATAATCTTTTGCAATTTATAACTGAACCAGCACACCACAAATATTACGCTTTTGTAGAATGCTCTCAACTGATAGATACCATACTTTTAGAATAAAGAGTTTCTCCCCATTAAATGCTGTAAGAATCTTATTACTGTCTTAATGATGGTTTTATTATGGAAATAATGCTATACTCCATTTTATACATTGAAGTTTGTTGGAAACATTTGTGGTTTTGCCTAATTGCACCAATGAACACAACTGACATTTATTCCCTGTGTGCAAAATGGATATTTTCCTTTATCTTGGATCTTCTTTCAAGATTGTTTTTTTTTTCTTTTTTTTCTTTTTGAAATTTAATAAGGACCCAGAAAATACCATGTACACTCCAGTTAGCCACCAAAGAAAGAACTTTCATCTTGAAATCAAGCTGCTAGTTTCAGGGAGGAGGTTAAGATGAAATCCATGTCTTCTGTTCTATCAGATTTCATATGCACTAATTTAGCCTAAGTCAATTTACCTTTCAAGTGTCTGAGTCTATTTTCTTGCTCTCACTAACTCTGCAGAGATTAATGACTCATTAATATGACTTCATATTGCCTTATTACACATTATCCTTAATAAAAAGTCTTCCTGCCACAACATTTCTTTGATAATAAGATACCTAAGTTGTTGCTATTTTAATTAGTTAATTAATATTTGACAATATTCTAGCAAAAGTACTAAGCACACTGAGCACAGAGCAAAATTGATAGGAATCTACAAAAAGACAAGGAAAAAAAATCCCACTGTTCCATGACCTATAGGTCATATTGCAAATATATTGCAAATAGTCAACTAGAAAAATCAACTAATGTTTTAAACTCTTGGCACATAAGATAATGCTTTCAGAAGCCCAGCTTGCTGACCTCAGAAAATCTATCCACAATGAGAACTGCTTTGAAATTTTCATGTTCCTAAAGTTGATATGCAAAATAAATTATTTTAAAAATATACAGTTTTAATTAACAAAGCAAAGCACCTCAAATCTGATCACAACAGGAACTCCTATATGTGATCTCTCATTCTCAATAAAGAACTAAATTGTTTCTATACATTTTTACACATTTCAGTTTTATATAACTCCAGTTAAGAATCTGGATCATTAGAGAACATGACCTTGATCTCTTGGAAATCTGTTCTATATTATGCTAACATAAAAAAAAAAAAAAAAAATCATAGGATACAGACATTCAAAGTAATTTCTTCTGCTGGAGAATCCACATTTAGTATATGGCATTTAGTATATCTAAGCAGAGAGAACAGGTTTACGGATTTCAACACATGTTTTTATCACGTTCATGATAAATTATAGATTGGTATCTTACCTAGAAGCTAAGCTTCTGCCTTACAGTACTCTCGAAATGTACTGTGCTATGATTTTAAGAAATGCCTTTGTTTCCTTTACACTGAATGAATCAGCAAGTATGAAAAAATACAGGGTCAAATTCTATGAATTTAATCAGAGAAAACTGAAGCAAACACAGCTGGAGCCACTGGGCATTTTCAATTACACAGTATTTTTATTTCCATAAAAGAGCAATCTAGCAGAGAAATGTTTTCCCTTTCTTTGCAGGATATGATTTCCCCAAGCTAGAAATTCTATAGCGATCTAAGGTTGAATGTCCAATATCTTGCCCATCAGGACAAGGAGTTTCAGCTTTCTTCCAATATGAAGAAACAACTAGTACTGTCCTTCAAGCTCAGTAATTCTGAGATTTCATGTTTTAAGATCATTTAGAAGAAAATCCAATTTACCATTTAAACTTTCATTATGTTAATTTATTATTTCTTATACTTTTTAAAAATTGCCTTCTGAGGTTTGTATGATTAGGCTGAGCTTAAACCTGTAAGACAGGCTAGAATGGGTAAAACATATGCATATTTGTATCTGTATATGAAGATGATATAAGTCTATATCTTCATATCCATATCTCTCTACGCAAATACAGAGTCCTTACCTCTTGCCACCCATAATGAAGCTAGCCCTCAATATCTTGCAAGCTCCTAGAGAAATGACTTGTATTATTCAAAGATTAGGTAGAGCTGCCCCAGGATTGTTTCATGCCATAAAGTCTCACATGAATGTCTCTATATTGGATGACTTTTGCCACCGAAGTAGATTCCATGGACTTCAATTTGGTTGCAACATTGTTCTGGACAAACATGAGTTTGATGACATTAGCGGGTCAGAATTTCTTTCTGTACTTCTTTTTGTTTCTTTTTTTTGTTTGTTTGTTTTGTTTCTGTTAATTCCAGAATAAAACTTCTCCTGTAGATGAGCTATTGTACACGCCTGCCATTCTAAGCCAGGTAGTTGCATAAATGGGACAAGAGAGGTTTTGATTTCTGACTCCAAGCTAACAAAAGAGGGCATAATTTTGTAATTTGTTGAGTTTCTCATTCATTGTGTGCCATTTTTCGTACTTTCCTACAGCTAGTTTTCATTTAATGTCTGTTCACTAACTTTAGTGATGCATTTAGTATTTCAGACGCAGTGCTATGGTGCCATTCTGCTTCTCATCATTGCAAACTTACCTTCCTCCATGAGACCCTCCAGGTGGAAATATATCAGGGTGTCTGGTGCGGATTTTATGAATGGTTGAGAGCTCCTGACCAATAACATGCTGTGTGTAGTCATCTTGCCAGGTAAAACCTGAGGAATATTGATGAAAGTACACACAAAGAAAAACAAGAACACCATTTAGTAACTTGAAGTTTGGCAAAAAAAAAAAAAAAACTTATATACACAATATTAAAAAAGAAAAAGGAAACTTGTCTGAACATAAATTCAAGAATGATTTACAGATTCTTTGCTCCTGTAAAGAAGTGTTGTTAATCTAAATTCTCCTAGAATGAAAAGAGGACAGTAATTGTCCTTATTGGTCTTGAGTATTGATCTTAATAGAATTTTAGTGAGGTATAAACTAGCTTTAATACATAATAAAGGATTATTTTTGGATAGCTGTGGAGAATATTTATCTCACTAGCCAGCTGCTGAAGGAAAAAGAGTTTTAAAACTCTTTACTGGTATCCATTGAGAAGTGGCTTCCTGCAGGTGATTAGTTCAGTTCTCCCTGGTTCACCGCACACCAGTCTTCCCCTGTTCTCTGCATCAAACTATGCAGTTAGAGCATAAAGTAGTAAATATTACATGGGAAAGAAGTATTTTGGGTTTTAATGTAGCTCTTCTGAAGGCCAATTTGTGTTATCTTTATACTTAAATATTGTGACAAAGAACTTTACAACGAGGGTGAAGTAACTCTGAAGGCAAATTCCATGTGATTACTCATTAATTATATGTGTTGCTGATCTCATGGTAATTATACTTGGGATGATGATATAACTTCAGCCATAATTGTTATCCAATTTCTGGAATTTAGATTTTATGGTAACACTTTATAGAATTTGCCCTTGCAATTATCTGTAATTATCTAATAACTAAATATCACGTAATTGCGGAGAATATCTGCCTTTGTGCCAGGCACGCTAAAACACCACAAAATCCTCAAATGAACATTGATAAAGTTCTAGATACGATCAGATTAGGCACTGTGCTAATTCTTTCTGTAAGGAACCTCCCAGAGCAAAATCCTCTCTAGCCCCAGGCAGAAGAGGACGGATTTGTGGTAGAGAATCAGCTTCGGAAGGTGGGTTTCTGGTTCAGCTCCCATTTCATACACAAATTATAAACATCACCATGATTTGCAGTTAACATCACGTTTGCTGGGACTGGGGCTTTCTTGGGCTAAGAGCTTAAGCATCATCAGTTTAAGCAGAACCCAAAACGTGACCATCTCCCTTCATGGATGACTGCTTTATCCTGTGAGCTATTAAAGACGCGGTTATGCTTTTCCGGTTTTTCATGGGTATTAGGAATGGGGTTCATTATCTGTTTACCTAGCCTGAATTCAATGAAAGGAGTTTAAATAGATGTGTCCATCCTGTCAAACAGAGTTATGACCATGTAGAAGTAAAAGTAATTTTAGTATTTATGAAATTATTAACCCAAACACAAGAAACTTCATGAGGTTAGATATAATATTAGATATGCCTAGGAAGTATTTAAATATACTGGTGTGTTATATTTAGATGAGTTTTAGGTCTCCACTTAGGCAGTTTAGGTGGACAGACTTCATTTTTTTCATATATGAAAATATTATTAAAGAATCTAGAAGATGCTTATGTATATATGAAGGCGTTAATGAAACAAAACAAAAAAGACTTTGACATGTAAGAAATCCACTTTGTGTTTGCTCATTCCTCTCCTTTTCTTAAATAAAAATGTTACATGAGTTTATTGAAGAAACAGTTCACTTGAAATCATGCTAACTGTCAATGCCTACAGTAAATGATTCCATCCTTGGTAAGGGGAATAATCTCCAAGATATTTTCAGATCTGATTCATTCTTTTCAAATGCTAATCTCACCTTTTCAAATGTGCCATGTAGATGGAGTCAAATCATTTTGCAAATCTCAATCTAAGACCGCTCAGAATATGTTCTTATTTGAATTATACGAAAATGAGTCACTGGGAACATATGATTATTTCAGCATAATGTTATTAAAATTATTTTTACATTGAAATTTATATATAATGTGCATATATATATACACACACATACAGATTTTTTCAAGTTTAGTTCTCTGTTGCCTAGCATTATATATTTTTCTTTTCTTTATAAAATCACACAAGTGAAGAAAGCTAAAATGATGTTCAAGTTTAGAAGACTGTGCAACAAAAAAGTTCATCTAAAAGACACATCTATTTATCAATACATGCATCTATATATAATCATATGTACATTAGTACAGCTGTAGAAGTACTTATTTATGACCTATATTTCCAAAATCCTGCTGTTTTACTCTGTAACTCCAAGCCAACAGCACAACCCTGTTAAAAGCTAAACATTGCTCACATAAATAAACTCTGAAGAAAAACACAGAGAATCATTCTCAAGAGTTTTGTTCAACTCCAATCAGGAAAGTGTTTGTCTGCAGTACTTGCATAAACACACCAAATTCATCACTCTTGAGCTATATACACATGGCCACAGATCAAGGTGTCAGTAGTCAACTGTGCCTGTCTCTCCCAATCTGTCTTGCAATCCCAGTTCTCACTGGTCATATCTGTGTGTACCTTGGGTACACTTTTTTCTTCCACGGTGCTATTTTAACATTTTCTCATGATGCATTTCAAATCCTTACAAGCGCCCGGGCCTTCTTGCTGCAGAAGAGCACAACTGCGGTGCTCAGAGGAGTCTAGGAAAAGGGCACGTTTGCCAGACAGCTTAAGAAATGGGAGTTGGGAGAATAGCTCCTCTTTATTGTCTCCTAGCGCTTGTTCCTCACTCACACATAAGAGTTACAACAACGCATGGAAAACAGAGGCAAATTACGGGGGGAAGGAGCCCATGGGCCATAGGGTGGTCTCATCTCCCCTTTGCAGCTGCTGTTGCACCTCATGTCTCTCCCGCCTCGTGACCCCATCACAGTGATTTCTCTCCACCGTCAGAGCAGAATCACCACGCTCGGCCCTGCATTGCCTCCACGTCACCGCCACGGAGCTGTGTGGGAGGCCTGGGGCTCTCCCTGCCACAGCCCTCTACATTCCAGCATGAATCATCTTCCCATATGGGGCCTCTTCTGAGCCTTGCAAAAAGAGGCCAGAAACTTGGTGGCTGACCACAAATACACCTGATCACATCCTTAGCTGGTGTAAATTTGATTAGTTGAAACATCTAAAAAAATCTGTTGAAAATATTTATCCGCTTACTTATTCTGCTATTGATTTATCTGCTACTTACTTATCTGCAGCTTATTCTAATTCACAATTATTCAACCAATTATTCTCTATTCCTACGAAGAGCTAGAAAGAAAAACAACTTTCAGCTTGCCAGACGGATGTTCAACAGGATGACGCTATGAGATTCTCCCAGCTTTGGTGCCAATTGAAATCCAAAGTGATTTGCATCAATATATTTACAACAAGATGTTTTTCTATATCAAATCCATACCATATGACAGGAGAATATTAAATACTAGCTGAAATCTATACACTAAAACCTGATTCCTCTTCGTCAGCAAAGTCCCCTTACAAAGGCCAAAAAGCTCAGAAGTATTCACATGTGAAGACCAAATATGTTACTATTTCTTAGTTATGGCATTAAATTATTTTCCACCTTTTAGTAGTATTTTCCATTCTGTCACTATAGACTATATGACAAAATATTTTTTTCTCTGAGCTATCTTCAACCACTACTTTATTCAGCCCAGAAACTCTCAGTTGTAGAGCTCGGAGGGTTTCGTTCCTCGTGCCATGTGTAGGCATTGTTCATGCCTACTATAGCTATCAGAACATCTGCAGAATTAGCAATGATTGATTTTCTCCTCTGTTTTCCCAATGTGCAGGTCAACGTAGAGACATGGCTTTTTGCAGGCTGCCTATCCACATTCTCCAGAGGAGCCTGTGCTCATCCCAGACTCAAGGACAGATATGGAGCTATTCACATCAGTACTGGCCCACTTACAATTGTAGTATTAATTCTGAGGTTGCTATGTTTTTATCAAAATTCATTCTTTCAAGTGCTGTATTTCTTATGTAAGAATGCAGCCAAAAGATAAAGTCTTGAGGCTTCTCATTACAATAAAAGAAAACTAGAACTTCTTCCAAAAGCAATTTTGTATTATAACTCACACTGCCATGTTAATGACAAAAATAGTAATAGAGAAGTTAAACACACCTCTGCATAGTTAAGGTTTCTGCTTGCTTTTACTATAAATTATGTCTCAAAAATTTAACTCTGGTGTATCTTTGATTTGGAATATTCATTTGCTCCTAAAATTGTCATTAAAGAAGGCAAGAATAAAACTTGAAGAATATTTGTCAAGACAATATTACACTTCACTTTATGAAAAATTACTCCAGTTAGTTTATTCTTGTCTAACATTTTATCATCTTCTAGACCTAAAGACTTTCCATAGAAGTTAGCCCTGTATAATTTCACACACTAGCTGTATTTGAAGGAACAGTTTAGAGTCATGAGCAGTCATTTCTGTTCATGCTCAACCCATTTCGACAGGAATGGAGATCATATTCTTGAGAAAGTCCTCAGGAACTTTTGTTGTTTCCTTGGTTTTTTTCACTGCATTCATAGGAATTGGTGCTGAGTACCAGATTTGTATTAGTGAATTCTTTTTGCCTGCTCTTGGAGTTCCTGGTGGGAGCACCCGCATCCCATGCAAGCATTTCTGCTGTACTTTGCTCTCCCAAGTCAAAGAACTTCCCTTTGGGAGAACAGATGAAAGGACTGCTTAAGGATTACAGTTTCAAATTTTCATATATTGTTTTATTATACATAAAAGTGTATATAAAAAAAGTCTTCTCTATAGAAGTAAATTACCAGCAAGATCATGCTTCTTATAGCTTTGATTTTAATTTATTCTAAGTAACTGCCAAAGGAAGGTAGAGGAAACCTTTCTCTCTTCTATTTTTCAGAATTTTTATTTTTTGAAGAAGATGAAATAGTACTTCATTTGCTAAAGAGATTATAGATAATCTGATAGGACTCAGCATGCAGGGTTTTTTTTTTACTTGTATTTCAGCTCATGTTGTAGAAAGGGGACAGAAAATTGGTCTATATAAGAGAAAGTGCA